CTTTCGGATTTACTCTTCCGCTTCGTTTTTCTCTACTTTTTTTTTGTTTAAAGCACAACCCAGTGATTTGTAATTCCCATTTCAAATTAAATGGCCGAAATGTGCCCAATTCAAATGTTAGATTAGCTAAATGAGGCAAACATATAACGTATTTAAATCTTGAAGGCCATTTAAAATGGTTTGCATGCAAAAGACTTTGTAGAAGTATTGTACATACAATCTATGGTTCTAACTTTAATGTTGAACTTAATACTTTAAAGATATACCGTTTTTTTAAATTATTCTATCGAATTGCATTTGAAGAAAAAATAAGTAAAACTATTAAGTACTAAAAACGAAAGTTCAACATGTTTATTTGTTATTCATTCAGGTTCGAAACTTCATTAAAAACTATAGTCAATTTTGTTCTTAGATTATAAAAATTGTTTATCTTTTTCAATCGTTTTGTCTATACCTTACGTAATCCTCTGTAATCCCTATCATAAATTTATTTATGCGTCGCACATATTTCAGAAAACTAAATATAGACAGGGCCAAACGACGACAGCGACGATTATCAATTCACAATTTATTTAACTGAAATATAAATGGAATCAAAGTAATATGTAAATATGGACAAGTGGAGAGGAAACAAAGCCAGACAGGATGATGGGGGGCGAACGAAAGCTAACCGAAGTTGGGGAGAATTTGTGTAGTTGTCGCATTTCCGCCCTTTTCGACTTTCGACTGCCAAAAATGCATATGGCAAGGAAATGAAACGTGGGGAAAATGGGGTGGAGTGGGTTGAGAATAGTGGGGTGGAGAGTGCATACATATGCGAGTTTTGTGGCACACAAGACGTGTGGAAATTATGCGAGGCGCGTGTCAAGTGGCGCAAAACTGCAAGAAAACTTTTCGCCAAGTCGGTGGTTGCTCCTCTGCATTCTCCACTGCTTAGTTTCCCCATACCACCCCCTGTTTTCTATACTCATACCACCCTTTCATTCCCATTCTCATTCCACTCAACGCCTGCAATTACATTGTGAATTAAATTGTAATGAGGCGCATGCGGCGAAATATGAAAATGAGACCGAAGTGGCGGCGGAACCAAGTAAAACCGGAAAAGGGGGGTAAAGGCAAGGAATTCCGACTTCGCGCACAAATGGCAATTAACAGTTATGTTTGCTGTTCTGACACGTTGCAGACAGTTTTAATGACGGCCAGAAAAACATCGAAGTCGAAGACGTCGGCGACAGAACTATTTTTGGTCGACTTCGAACGAAGGCCGCAGTCTCTCGCCAGACGCTTAAAAGAGAAAGTAACTTTTCGGTATGAGAGTATCCCCCTACACAGAAATAATTAATATAGGGATATGTCATAAGTGACTTTAAGTTGTAACAAAAAATTTGTATCTTTATTCTTAAATCTTTGTCTAAGAATGTCAAAGAACTTTAATTCAATACGGGGCTTGTGCAGAAAAATAACCACTTGAGAATTATAAGACAATTCTTAATTATCATTTGTTTTCTCCCCAATTTTTTTCACTGTTGGCCGCTGGAACCGGAGTAATGCAGTTTTCGTTCGCCTAATTGGCTGCCATCGGAAGTTCGTGTCATTTAAAGTCGAAGCTGGAAAGCTTGGTCAGCATCTGGTTGACTACAACTTGCACAGGTTCACTTAAGCGGAAGTTATTAATTTAACCGACACTATCTGGCACAGACATTTTCTTATGTTATAATTAAATTATGTCAACTTGTTAAATATTATTTGGAAACCGAACATATACATCCATAAGTTTGTATTTGATTGAATGCCAATTGAAATGCGCTATAAATATACGTTTTTAATCAATGTAAAAGTCTGAACTTTTTTTTTGGAAAGTATATGTCTATTTTGTTATGGTTTTTTATTCTGAATAACCAAATTTCTTTGAATTTATTTTTCTCTTTAGTCACAGATTGGTTTTGTAGTAATCAGCAAATCTTTGCACGTACCAAAATATAAGCAAAAGAAACTTTTTACTGAATGTCCACAAAATTTTGCTATGCGAGAAAGGGGACATTTTTAGTAGCTTTGGGGAGAACGCGAAAGTGCCGCAAAACGATCAGCATTAGCTACCGCCTTTTGCCGCCCACTTGATAGACGTAATTTTACCGCAAATGTTGCGCCCACTTTGCCGTAAGTAAGTAGTGGAAGAAGATGCAGCGGCAGCCAGAAGAAGAGTGCATTTAAATGACCGTTTTGTCGCAGCTCCTAATGACAACCACTTGCGGCTGTCAAATGCAACTCTGGCCACGCAGGGTTGTAATATTTTATGGCGGCGGCGAAAGAAGAAGACCGTGATGAAAAAAGGGGTGGTTGCTTTTTATTATACCCAGTATATGCGGGTATATTGTAAGGTTGACCACACGCAAAACGTACGAAACTATACATATGTTTTCACACCAACACGAAATAAAAATGTAAAGTCCAAGGTAATTCCTAGTATATATTGTTTCTTTTTTATATTCTACTTCACTTTTGATTGTTGCATATAAAGCATAGATTATTGTAGTTGTATTGTAATTTCACTTCCTTTTAAAAACTTACAAATCTGGATATATCATAGGTTTTAACCACAGGTTTTAACCTGTTAAACAAAGTTATTGCTAGTTAACCAAAATGGTACCAGGTATCTTATCGTCGAGACTTTTGATATTTTATTTTGTTATATTCTGACCAACAATGAACGCATTGCCCCACTCACATATTCACCCAGCACCCCTGCTCATTTGGTCCGCACCTCCTTGGGCGCATTCATAATTTCCCCATTAACCCTATTTTCCTGTTATGCACGAGTGCCCCAAACAGCGTAAAGAAGAAGAAATTGTCACCCAGCCACCCCGTTGAAATAGCGCTATCCCATACCCACTCTCTCGCTCCCTGATGGATTTTAAATGAACTTTAACACGTGCAATGTCCCCTGACAGTGCGGAATGAAGGGGACCGGAGCTAAGTAATTGGTTTAGCACTGCGCGGGTGGGATGGGCGGAGCTTAACAGGTTCGCTTCACAGATTATCCTTGAGTTGATTTTACAGCTAAACTAATAACAAAAAAATTTCTATTCCAGTTGGCAACAGCAGTTGGCGAAGAGAAATGAGTTTCCTAATGAGATATTGAGCATGAAGAAATTGCAAATTGCATCGCAGAAATAGAACAATTTTTGGACAAGAGTTGAAAAAATTTATGTTGGAAATTTTAAACACTAAGTTACTATTTCTTCAATTTAAATTGATCCGTTTAATCCTTCACTTTTCTATACTATTTCTATACTATCAATTTTAAGTTATATGGTAAATTAAAACAAATGTTATGAATTCTTTTCTATTCCTATATATTCTTATGCAATTAAAGTTCGTACAGTCTTTATATTGCAAAATATATATTGGCCATCGTACTTAAAAATAATACCGGCGTTATGAAAATCAATTTCCCGAACTCAAGATTCATTTCCTGATCATCAAATTTGATTTTAGCCATTCCATTTCGTATCTTCCTGCTACAAGTTGTAGCATGTTCCCTAATGTGGCGCCCAATTCAAATTCATAGGTATGGAAACATTTTTTAAACACATTTGGTTGAACTACTTCCTGGCATTCAAGGTATATTTTCCTACCCGTTCTTGGATAAATTTGACTCCGTATCTTTGGTGCTAAAATTGTCTTGAAGAATGCAACATTTCTCTGGGAGACTGTGTTTTTCCCTCTTCTGTTACCATTTACAGTGTGCCAAATGCACATTTAATAACGTAATTTCTGAAGCGTGCACAAGATATTTTTAGAATTTAGCTCTTCTTCGCCAAACTCCAGCACAGCCTCGACTTTTTCTCCATCTGCTGCCGGCAACTTTTTCTGCTTCATCTTGCACAAACAAAAAGCGGTGCAGATACATATGTACCCAGGACTATATACATTTTACACCGTATAAATATACATGTATATAGGTATACACATATAAATATATATCTGTCTTCAACCTACGTGAGCACGTTGAAGAAGTCGCCCAACTTTTTGGCCAAAAAAAATGTGTAAGGAACCAAATTTGCATATGCAACGTAACTCCTGGCGACGATCATGACGGCGATGATGATGATGATGATGTCGCACATTGAGGACACACACAGGACACTAGAAATAGCTGCTGGCAACAGCTAACCAGCCCACTACCCAACCCCACTATCCCCTGCCACTAGACTCATTTCAGCACTGAAAGCTTCGCCACTTTTATGCAAATAATGTCTTCCAGGAATTTTTGTTATTTATAGTTAAGATAGCAAAACGTGTGGATGTCTGGATATATCTCAAAAAGTGTGTGCATTAGTAGCTATGTGTCTCCTGCTCGCACACACGCTTTGTCCAAGTTATTGCTTCATTTCTTGAGCAAACTTCTTCACCTGCCAAAAGTGGATACTTTCGAAGGATGGCAAAAAGGTTTGCTGATGAGTTGGGCGGCATTGGGCGAGTTTCTGGGCTGTCAAACTTTAAGAGAATATCTCCAACTATCTTCCGGCTTCCTATTGCCATCGCAGGCATGTGACTCTGGCAGTCAAATTACATTTTGTAGCTCATACAAATGTTGTCATTAAAGTTTTGACAGTTGACTTCGATTGGTTGCCCTTCTTCTGATATCCCAACTCATGCTTTCTTTCATCCTCTTCCTTTATTGGTCATAATTTAAATTGACATTTGCTTTAGACTTAATTTGGTTACAATGACTCGCACAGTCACATTGCCAATTCTCTTGACATTTTCTTTTCACTGACATTGAAACATGACGAGTAAATTTGATTGTGGTAAAGAAAAATTCCAATAACTATGTAAATTGTATTTGTTGAATTTTTAAAAAGAATATATGAAAATACCCAAGTATTGTGGCTAAATTAAACGAATTCTTTGTCTATTTTATGTTTGTATTACTTTTTAAATAATTTATGCGCCAGACCGCATTTAGATATATATAAGAATTTTATTTCTTTACTCACCTAATTCAACGTAAAGTTTTGGTCGTATATTCTCCTGCCAGGCACTTTGATTACCAATCACGAGGACTGTAAGTAGTAGGAAGACTTGCATCCAACCGTATCCGTAAAATTTGCTTAACTTATGTTTCATTATTGTTGCTTTTGCCGTTGCACTTTTCAAATGCATTTTGTGGCTTTTGTTATGCTTGTTCTTGGCGCTGTTGTTATTGTGGTTTTTGTTGTGTAAATTTAACATTTCTACTTTGCATAAATGTTAGTTAAATTTCAATTGGTTTGATTAAATGTACAACATTTATTATTGTTGATTTTCTGTGTGTGCTTTTCGTCTAACTTTATTGCATTTAAATGGATTTGATTTTATTTTTGTTTGGTTTGGCTGTGCGTGATTTAGAGTTACTGCGTCTGAATTTACTTTAATCTTTAAATGGATATTGAATATATTGATTAATTTTGTATTTAACAACTTTTACTTTTTTGTCTTCGGGATTTATTTATTTATGGGAAAACAAATTTGTTGAGGGATGCAAGTTCAGTCATTTCTGTAATGAAAGAGAATGAAATAAGGAATTAGTTATATAATGCAACACATATAAATCTGGTATAATAATAATTTGTTTGGCTATCTTTAAAATGTTGAATAAATTATGGTTTAATTAACTTAGACCCTTTGTCAAGTAAAGAATGCTTTGGAAAACAAATTTACGGGGGTTATAAATTTAGAGATTTGGAACCCACATAAATTATTACTATTATTTTAATATGAATATAAAACCCTAGGCGTCCGTGCCTTTATTTGTATTTTGATAGCTACTTTTTGAATAATTTAACCCAATATCTTATCCCCTATTTTAGCATTTTTCAATTTGGCATGCATACATTTTGTGCTCGATTTAATGTAGGTCTGGCCTACACCCTGCTTTCTTAAATCGGCTTATTGTGCAATCGTGTGTGTGCACATTCACACAAACAACACACACATCACACACACGCACATGACCACGCCCACCTATTAGGGAGTCGCAGAAATGGTTTTTTTTCTCCATGCAGATAAGTTTAGCGACCTTCGCCCACAAATGAAAAAGCGTAAGAACTGGCAAAAATAAAGTAAATGAAGAAAGCGAGGACAAGGCAAGCCGAAAAGAAACTGAAAGGCAGGAGGAATAAATGGATAAAAGGCGGAGAAAGAAAGCAAGCAAAGAGTGGGTGAGAAGAGAAAAGGTGCCAAGTAGCGTGCACAGTTAATGAGTTTTTCAGCACACCCCACTGACACCCACCCACCGAAACCCCACCGCCCATCCGCCCACCTGCACCCCTCAGCCATGTAGAGAAATTAAAATGTAGCACGAAAATGTACAAATCTAGCACACGAAGGGGTTGACAAGGTGAGAGGAGGGGGGATAGAGGGCGGAACGGGGTTATTCGGTGTCATAAATCTGCCACAGGTGAACTTTGAGGTGGGTGTGGCCGGGTGGCCAGAATGCAGTGCAATTTGTTTTTCCAAGTCATGTGCATCTGTGTCGGCTTCGTTCTAATTATGACGTCAACAAAGCGCCTAGGTGCCAACCAAAAAAAATATATAAAAAAAAGACTACAAAATACCCGCTAATTAAACTTAAATGTACTTTAAGGTCATTATTTTAAAAGTTAAACTTGGTTTACGGTGGAGAAAAATTGTTATTGATTTTGGAAGCTTGTTTAAATTCTAATTATTTTCAAAAAAATATTTCTCCGACAATTTCTTGGACTCTAAAATATAAATCACATTTTTATTAATTTTAATTTTAATGGTACTGCAAATGGGTAATAAAAGATTTTATTTACTGATTTAAAAATTGATAGAATAAGTAAAATACATAAATATAGTTGCTTTTATAAGAAGTACAAGAAAATCATTTAGAAATCCAACCAATAACAAGTAAAATAAATGTTCATAATCAAAATACAAAATATATACCCTGCCCAACCATACCTATTACCAGGATGACCCAAAACGGACGGGAGGTGAAAGGGCAAGAGGTTATATACATATATACAAGTCGAGTATCCACTTTGCAGCTCCCATACTGTTTTTGGTTTTGTAGCTACACTTTACCGATTGTTAGTTTAGATAAAGAGCAGACAGACACACTTGCTGGCATGGATGTGAATATGTTTGAAGGGAGTATAAGTGGCCATGTGTTAGTTGAGTACCTGTAAGTGTTCACGCAAAATTTAACTAAAAACGCTGTCACTGAACAGTAAACCAGTAACTATCGAGTGCTGTCGATAGCTGTTTGAAGTGCCTATAAAAAGGACATACATATGAACATGCCAACTTATAACCTGCTGAAGAGTGTCGGTAAATCGGGACAATATAATTAGAAGAGGTAATAGTAAGAATATCTTAGAAAGAACCGAATCCATTTCACGGGATTCTTATTTTAAAATAATGATTGAGAAAATCTCGGGCAAAACATTAAACGTTAGGCGCATTCCTGATAAATAAGCACAATTTGGTCAACTATGTTGCATAATTTCCAACGGGACTTTAAATAAAATGTCACGTTTGCTCCGAACGATTTTAATAAGTCAAAAACTAATTGTGTTTCTCATTTAGCTGGCGTTGCTACATTTCCCACACACAGATCACAATGTTTAGGAATAATTTAGAGCTAAGCATTTGGAAGCCATCTACTATTTCAGCTCGTAACCCGCTTACAAAGTGCAAACATAAAACATTTTTGGGGAAAGCCATCAAAAGAGAGACGTTTTCCAGGCATTTAAAATTATTTTTCATGCTGAGGCAGACACAAAAACAGCCAACTAAAAATGAGGCAGTGCCACGCCCTCGGGGGGCGGCCTTTTCAACTGCATTGCCCTGCAGTTGCCGCAGGGAAAACAGAATTTTCCGTTGTATAAGGACTTAGGGGCCTGGGGTCTGTAAATGGCTACCAAAAATTAAATGCCTCGAATCCCTGCAGACAGCACGAATATGTCAAGTGTGTGTGTATGTTTAAACAACAAATACAAATAACAATAACATGGCCAGCGAGTGGTTGGCAGGAAGAAAGACTGCGTCCAGATCCTGACTCTGAGCCTGATGCATTGCGCATATTACTCAAAAATAAACTCAGCTGAAAAGAAAACAACAGTGAAGCAAAACAAATCTAAAAGAAATTGTCTTTAGTGCAGTCGCGGCAGGAAAATACCCTGCTGAGATTAAGCAATTATATTGATTAAGTTCTTTGTTTGTATTTCTTTATGAATTTTTACGGCCAACATATAGTTAAGACATAAAAGATTTATTTATCTTTAAATTAAATTCATGTGGAGAGGCATTGATGCGTTCACAGCATTTTTCAAAGCATAATTAGTGGGCCAAGCAACACATTATTTTGTAATTGGAGATCCAGCTAACAAATCGAAAAGATGTCTATAAATATTTAGCTGTGAACGATTACTTCTAAAATAACAAATATTTATGTAATATTAAGTAATAATATTATTATTAAAAACAAGAAAGGAAAGCTAACTTCGGGCGGAGCCGAAGTTGAAATACCCTTGCAGAATATTCTGCAAATTATATTCTCCAAAATCATTCATATAATGTATTCTTAATACTCATAAAAAATCCCAACTTCCTAACTTTAAAAACACCAAAGTTATGGCATTTCCAATCGTTCAGTTATATGGCAGCTATAGAATATAGTCGGCCGATCCTTATGAAATTTGATATGTCGGATTGATAGGCAAAAATAAAACCCATAGAAAATCCCAACTTCCTAACTTAACAAACACCAAAGTTATGGCATTTCCGATCAATCAGTTATATGGCAGCTATAAGATATAGTCGGCCGATCCTTATGAAATTTGGTAGGTCAGATTAATTAGCCAAATATAAAACCCATAGAAAATCCCAACTTCCTAACTTAACAAACAGCAGAGTTATGGCATTTCCGATCAATCAGTTATATGGCAGCTATAGGATATAGTCGGCCGATCCTTATGAAATTTGGTACGTCGGATTGATTGGCCAAATATAAAACCCATAGAAAGTCCCAACTTCCTAACTTAACAAACAGCAGAGTTATGGCATTTCCGATCAATCAGTTATATGGCAGCTATAGGATATAGTCGGCCGATCCCGGCCGTTCCGACTTATATACTGCGTGCAAAGGAAAGAAGGGTGTGTGCAAAGTTTCAATTCGATATCTTTAAAACTGAGAGACTAGTTCGCGTAGAAACAGACAGACGGACAGACAGACGGACAGACAGACGGACAGACGGACAGACGGACAGACGGACAGACGGACAGACGGACATGGCTATATCAACTCAGGAGGTGATCCTGATCAAGAATATATATACTTTACAAGGTCGGAGATGTCTCCTTCACTGCGTTGCACACTTTTGACCAAAATTATAATACCCTCTGCAAGGGTATAAAAATTGAGAAATTGTACACCTGCGTGTGTGTGAACTAACATACAAATTTTCTAATCGTTTTCAGAAAATAAAACAATAAACTATAAAAAAAACGATTGATTTTCGGGCGCATTACAAAATCATGCAATCTAAAGCCCTTTAGTGTGTCATGACTTCCCCTGAGATTTGCAAGTATAAAAAACTGCACTAGCATCAGTTTGCATTTTCAGTTACCCCACCCATTTACCCCCAACCCCATGCAGCCACCCACCACCCACTCACTTAACACTCATCAGGCAATGCAATTTGTTTTTTGCGGCCGCCATTTTGTTGCAGCCTTTTGCAAAATGGCCGCCGCCATTGCAAACACAAGAGTGAGCGCAAAAAATCAGCTCTTAATATACAAATAAATGCCGCAATTCACGTTTTGTTTTCCATTTGTGTTTTTTGTTATCGTTTGTCTGCCATGGAAAATATTTATGTTGCAAATCTTTTGCGGCCCGACGAGTTTTTCTTCATTTTCAGTTGTGTTTTATCGCTTTATTCTTCCCTTTGGTTTTTGGTTCGTGACTTGTTTGTCTTGTCTGCATATCCTGCAGCGATTTGTTGTGTTTTCGCCTCTTCGTGTTCCCCCGTTTTTGGCCTGCAGTGGCTCCTGAGCTCCTTCATATCCTTGTAAAAATGGGATTTGCTCTCGTTGTCGCGCAAAAGTTCTCATTTATTAGCTTTGCTTATGTCTGTCTCTGTTTTGAAAATATTTTACAATTTTTACCAGCATCTGAGTGCGTGCGTGTTTGTGTCCTGGCACCAAGACAAACAGATTTATTCGTTTAGAAAACTTTGTATCCTTATCTCGGTCCATATGTCTTTGTTTGTGTTTCGTGTTTTATGTTCATCTTGTACGGATGGGGGCCTTACTAGAGTAAATAATCATAATGGAATTTTTAAGGCTTATGACAATTTAACATGTTGCTTGGATGTGGGTATATCTTCGTTCTGCCTAAATCCCAACCATAAATTCTATGATCTAAATCTTATTAATTGGAATTTATTATTTTTAAACATTTGAATTGCAATTTAAAATGCCGCTCGCGGCATGACGATATATTTATATGTGCTCTGACTCTGACAGTTT